TTCCTATACTAGCCATTATAATGACGTAATAAAGAGATGTGTGACAAAAATACTGGAAAGAAGAATCAGTATTTAAGATGATATCATTTTTGGGGGGGTCAGAGATTACCAGGGATTGGACTCAGGGGCACTTGGCCACTGAGCCACATCCTCAGCCCTGTTTTGTATTTTATTTAGAGACAGGGTCTCACTGAGTTGCTTAGCACCTTGCTTTTTCTGATGCTGGATTTGAACATGCSCACCACCTGATTCAGCCTCCTAAGCTTCTGGGATTATAGGCTTGTGCCACCATGCTGGGCTAAAATGGTATTATTTTTTAATCTAGCAAATTCAAAAGAGTCAACTGGAAAGCTGTTCTGTTTTGTAAGGGAGGTGAGTAAAGTGACTGAATTCGAGGTTAAATTTTCTTTTTTTTATTGGTTGTTCAAAACATTACAAAGCTCTTGACATATCATATTTCATACATTAGATTCAAGTGGGTTATGAACTCCCATTTTTACCCCAAATAAAGATTGCAAAATCACATCGGTTACACATCCACATTTTTACATAATGCCATATTAGTGACTGTTGTATTCTGCTACCTTTCCTATCCTCAACTATCCCCCCTCCCCTCCCCTCCCATCTTCTCTCTCTACCCCATCTACTGTAATTCATTTCTCTCCTTGTTTATTKTCCCATTCCCCTCACAACCTCTTATATGTAATTTGTATAACAATGAGGGTCTCCTTCCATTTCTATGCAATATCCCTTTTCTCTCCCTTTCCCTCCCACCTCAAGTCTCTGTTTAATGTTAATCTTTTCTTCCTGCTCTTCCTCCCTGCTCTGTTCTTAGTTGTTCTCATTATGTCAAAGAAGACATTTGGCATTTGTTTTTTAGGGATTGGCTAGCTTCACTTAGCATAATCTGCTCTAGTGCCATCCATTTCCCTGCAAATTCCATGATTTTGTCATTTTTTAGTGCTACATAATACTCCATGGTGTATAAATGCCACATTTTTTTAATCCATTCATCTATTGAAGGACATCTGGGTTGGTTCCACAGTCTAGCTATTGTGAATTGTGCTGCTATGAACATCGATGTGGCAGTATCCCTATAGTACGCTCTTTTACGGTCCTCAGGGAATAGTCTGAGACTGGCAATAGCTGGGTCAAATGGTGGTTCCATTCCCAGCTTTCCCAGGAATCTCCATACTGCTTTCCAAATTGGCTGCACCAATTTGCAGTCCCACCAGCAATGTACAAGAGTACCCTTTTCCCCACATCCTCGCCAGCACTTGTTGTTGTTTGACTTCAGAATGGCTGCCGATCTTACTGGAGTGAGATGGTATCTTAGGGTGGTTTTGATTTGCACTTCTCTGACTGCTAGAGATGGTGAGCATTTATTCATGTACTTGTTGATTGATTGTATGTCCTCCTCTGAGAAGTGTCTGTTCAAGTCCTTGGCCCATTTGTTGATTGGGTTATTTGTTGAATACAAGTCACAGTAATGTAGAACGTAAAATGTGGAAAGGATATCTTAAGTTAAAGCAACCCACATTACAAAGTATAAAGTCAATCAAAAAAGTGAAAGATCTATGTGATGAAAACAAACAAAAAGAATTACTGAAGAATCTCAAAGCCCTATGTAAATAGACAGAGAGACAGTTCATGTTTCCAAATAGAATGATTCAATGTGATTAAGACGTCAATTCTTTTCCAAATTAATTATACATTAAAGACATTATAGCCAAAAATCCTGGAAGATTTATGCAACCTTATGAAATTCTAATAATAATGTTAGAATACATTGTTTTATTAAGAGTATTGAGTGATGGGAGTTTAATCAAATTCTGCCTATATGAACTAAAATAGAAGGATATTGGCATAATAGCAATCAAATCTGAAGAAGGTAGTATAGAAATGCATAAATATTAAACATTAGATACAATGAACACAGGAGGATTTTTTTAGAAATGTGTCATAAATGTTTTTAGGACAAAAGAAAATTGATAATGTCAGTATTAATGGTAAGAAAATAAACAACCTGATTTTAAGATGGGTGAAGAATCTGAATAATCATTTCTCAGGACCAGAAGATTTATGGAAAAAGAGTCAAAATCATTAATCACCACAGAAATGAAAATTGAAACCATAAGGAGAGATGACCTCACAGCTATATACTATCATCAGAACTATGAAAGGCAGGTGTTGCTGGGGATGTGAGTAAAGGGAAAGCTTGCACTACACACTGTCTGTAAGACTTTATATTGTAAGGAAAAATAAACAGCATGGAGTTTCCCCCAAAATTAAAAATTAAATCATCATAGATCCAGCAATACCACTCCTGGGTCTGTACCTACAGTGCATGAAATCAGTATCTCTAAGAGACATCTGCACATCTATTTTCACTGCAGCATTATTGACAATAGAAAAAATATGCAGTCAAGCCAAGTGTCCATCAGTGGATAGATTTGTGGATAAAGAAAAGGTGGTAAATGCACAAGGGAATAGTAGTCAGTCATAAAACAAGGACATTCTTTCATACTGGGTCACATAGATGAGCCTGCAGGACATTATATTAAGTTAAATAAGTCAGGTGTACAAATACAAACACTGTGAATTTGTGTTTATATGTAGAATCTAAAAGGCTGAACTCAGAAATAGCAGAATAGTGGTTACCAGAGCCTAGACTAAGGGAGATGGAGAGATGCTGGTCAAGGGATAGATATTTTCAGTCACACAAGAGAAATATAAACTCAAGAGACCTATTATATAACATGGTGACCATAGTTAATAAAAAAAAAAATCTGTTACTGAAACAGCTGGAAGAGTAGATTCTAAGTGTTCTCACCACAAAAATGCTAGTTATATGAGACAATGCATATGTAAATTAGCTTAATTCTTGATAGAGCCATTCCACAAAGTGTACATAGTTCAAAACAATGTACTTTATATTATAAATATATACAATTTTTATTTGTCAATTTGAAAATGAATAAAAGATATTAAAATAAAAACAAAAATAAGATTAAAAAGTTCCCATTTATCAAATTAAATAATACTATAAAATATAAAACAAAAAGGAGAATTTACAATATAGATAATCAATACAGAATTTGTACACAGGATTCCTAAAGGGCTTAATTTAAAAATAATGGAAAATAATGTGAAAATTTAACAAAAAGAAAACATAGATACATATTTCATGGAAGATTATTTTAAAAAAGGATGTTCTCCAAATCTGAATATGTTCAGCTTCAGTAACAATATGGATTACAAACTAAAATCATAATGAGCTCACAGTCTTGAATCCAACAATTCACAAGGTCAGGCACTATTGGTGAGGATGGAGAGCAGTGYAAGTGTCATACACTGAGGTAGGAGTGCAACTTAAAATGCAGCATTAGGAGAAAAACACAATTACCTGTGAAACTCAATGCATGAACAGACTTTTGAACATGAAAGAATTTCTTTCAATTGGAAGAAGTGATTTACAGTAGAAGGGGTAGAGAGAGAAAAGGGGAGGGGAGGGGAGGGGAGGGG